ATAATGTCATCATGTACTCAGGTAAAATCTCTGTGTGGCTTACACAGCATCAGTCACTGAAATTGCTTGCTGTTGTGGCTATTTCTCTGAGTGTGTATCATGTCATCTAGCTGTAGTTTGTAATTGCAAGGCTTAAAAAAAAAAGTCTTAATTCTCAATAATTCCAAGACAAAAGATGGAAGAAAAATGAAACATTAGATCAGTGGGTTGTAGCCAAATATTTAAGAAAACAAGACAACTGAACTAGAATCTAATATCCACAACTATGTATTATAGTTTCTATTGAAACACAATTTTTCTCTCCAAAATCACCCTCATTTTTCTCAAAGATAGCCAAGTTAAGACTAATTTATTTACTGTGTAAGTCTAGTTTCAATGAATTTGGCCTGATTATTTGCATAAATACAATAATAGCAATTGATCATGCAGGCTTTTTAAAATTTGCTTTGCTGGAATTTTCGTGCCTATGTGAATTCCCCATGCACAAGTATTAAAAATTTGATTTCTATTAATCTGTCTGTTAATTTGATTATTCGCCCAGCTAGAACTTAGAAGGTGGGAAGAAAAGTGTTATTTTTTTTTAGCCCCACAGCACTTACTAATATTTTACTTATATTAAATAATTCTTCAGTCATTTCACACTTGTGTATTTCTCTTGAAAGATGGTATACTGTAAAACAAGATTAGTAATGTTACCTTTCTACACATCAAAATGTTAATTATGGCATTATGATAATCTGTAATATATCTTTAAAAATGTCTCTGACTGAATGCGTGAGAAAGAGGAAGAGTACACCAACGTGAAGAGCAATATCACTTACACATCACCTCTATCAGTAAGTACGAGTCTAAGAAACTAATATGGATATCATTGCTTAATAAAAATATATTCTGATGGAAGCTGAATAAACAAAAATCAAACAAACCAATGGTAAAAAGAAAAATCGATCTTAACATAGTGTTTAATATAAATCAGATTTTTAAAGATCTTGCAGAATTGCCATCCTCACTGTAAAGTGTAAATCATACAACCACTGAACTGTCCAAAGATGCTGTTGCTCCCCTGCAATAAATAGGCAATGGCTTAAGGAACTGTCCTCTCAGTTTTATAGCTATGTAAAATTGGTCAAGACCCTTACATGTACCACATGGTGTTGCTGATGATTAATTCACCTAATGTAAATGAGTGAAAATTTTAAATGATCATAAGTTCTTTTTATACAANGTTTAGATACTGATTTAAATAAACCACCTATAAAAAGACCTTTATAGAGTAATGAAGGAAATTTGAACAAAACCAGTTATTAGGTGATATTAAGGAATTATTATTCATTTTTATAGGTACAATAATGGCATTGTGATAATACATACGTTTAAAAGAGTGCTCATCTCTCAGAAATACATACTGAGGTATTTACAGATGAAATCACATAACACTTTAAAATATACTGAAGGTAGATAAAAAGAACATTTTGATGGCTGCCAGACGGGAAGGTGGTGAAAAGGGGGAAGGGATTAAGAAGTACAAATTGGTAGTTACAAAATAGTCATGGGAATATAAAGTAAAGCATAAGGAATATAGTCAATAATATTGTAATTATGTATCATGTCAGATGGGTACTAGATTTACTGGGAAAATCACTTTGTAAATTATATAAATGTCTAATCACTATGTTGTACACATGAAACTAATATAATATTGTATGTCAACTGTAACTGAAAAATAAAACAATTATAAAAAATAAAATAAAATATAGGTTAGAGAGGGAATGGGAAGTGATTTAGATAAAACTAAACTGCTATATGTTGGTAATTGTTGAAGCTGGATAATGGGTATGTGGGAGTTCATTAAACTAATCTTTCTACTTTTATAAATGTTTAAAATCTTCAATTTGAATTTCAAATATATACTAATTTCCTTGTTATAATCCATTATATAGTGCTAATACATAATAATCTCTTATTTGAATAATTACAAATTATATTTATGCAACATAAATTCATAGACAATTTAACAAAATCACTGATTAACAGCTATTGGAGTAACAAAAAATTAACATTGTAAGGCACAGAGACTATAAAAAATCAGAAATTAATGCTTATTTTATGACTGTCATAGAAATTCTATAGATAAAATACAAATTAGGGTTTTTAAATTTTTTACAACTTTGTGTTATAAAAAAATAAAAGTACTGCTACAAATAAAAATCTCCATATAGAATTCTATAAAGTCATTATCTTCTGAGCTATTTTAAAATGAAGTAAAATTAAATAGAAATGTGTGATTCACTGGGAAGTACAACTGTACATTTGTAATTTAATTAAGTAGTATATAGTAAAAGCAAATTTTTTTTAAAAACCATGTCTTTTACAACAGATTTGGTGAAGCTGTTCAATATACATAATACTTAACGCTGCTTTGAAGAAAAAGTGTTGAGCTATTATCAACAAGGACCAAATTTAGCCCCAAAGATCCAATAGTTTAGATTGCTCACAAAAGCAGGAAGATTCTCTTTACTCTCAATAAAGGATAGTTATAGCTATAGAGAATCCAAAACTGAAGAGGATGAAAACACAGATGGGTTTGGATAATAAGATTAAGTAAAATCACAATTTAGTGAATGAAGGTAGAATTTCTAACCTCAGAGAATTGTTCGGTCCCCTTTAATGTAATTCAGCCCCCATAAAAAAGGCTTATAAAGCTCCCTCATCTATGACTACAATTCTAAGAATTTATTATGGTTTTGGCTTTAAAAAGCAATATGCTAAAAAAGCACAATATGGGAATGCCTGCTCCTCCCCATCTACAAATAAATAGCCTGTTGTTTCTTTTTTATCTTAGTGAATCCTTTCCTTTCTGCTCTAGGTTACTTGTTGTTTAGAGAGTGAGTTGTTCTGTGGTTTTTTAAAATTTTCCTGTCTCTTTCCAACCTTGATTTTCCCTCTCTTCATTAACATTTGCTTTATTCCATTAATAGACCTTGGCTATCCGGAATTTCTAGGGTTAAAAATTCAAAGTTTTCGGAACTAGCTAAAGATTTACCAAAATGAGCTCTGTTATTATCTCAGCTCTCTTTTAAATGGAGAGCTTCTCATATACTCTTTTTTTTTCATATACTCTTATATTAGTATAAATAATATAGACTTGTCAATACTCATTAAGAATACCAGAAACAAATTTCACATTTTTTTAGATGATTATCGATTACGACAACACACTGAAAATAGCTGTATGGTTTAGGAAATAGATCTGAACTGATAACTATTCACAGCAGCGGACCTGAAAGCTTCTAAATCACCTATGAGCTCTGTTCACTGCCTCTCCATAAAGGAGAGATAGGCAAGTATCCTCAAATGCCGCTGAACAGTGTTTTCCTTTGTATTAAACTGGTGCTTCTTTTTTCACCTTTTATGGCTCCTGAACTTTTAGGTTTTAATTGATTGTCTATCACTCAGAGAATCTACTTTCTGAAGCATA